CCAGGAAAGGAATAAAATATTCCTTTCCCAAAAATATTCAAATTTACATTCAATTAATAAATTGCCAAATTTCAGATATTTGGACTTGGTCCAATTGATAAATTTTGGGTTCTTAATAAAGTTCCTGGGCTGTTTTTGTTTTCATGTGTTTGCCCCCAGGAATGACTAATCCATTCCTCCCCCATTTTTGGCCCAGCTTATCTTCCCCCAAAAATGGAAATGTTAAAGAAGGAAAAGTCACCCCCAGAATCCCTGACAGGAAATAATTGCTTTTCCCTTTTGTGGTCAGCTCAGAATATTCCACTAGGAATTTATTGTATCCGCATGACAGGTGATGAATCTGCTAAAAGATCACATCAGGCTTTTCCCCTAGATTTAATCCCTGGATTAAGCTTTTAGCAAAAGATTGGCACTGGCAAAAAGCTGATGAAATCTGCATCCCCTTTTTGCTCATTCTGTTCTATTCTATTCCTGATCAAGTATTTAAAGGTGTGAAATTCTGTGTTCCCCAGAATTCATGTCCAGTGATCTCCCAGAAGTCCCCAGTGAAGGTTAGAGTGTAGAAGCAAAGTTAGACTTGAACCCTTAACTTTGAAATTGGGACTTGTGCATTTTGTGATATAGACTTGACAATTATTATTCAAGCTTCACTTCATGAAGTTTGTCTTATTGCTGAGTGTTTTATGTATATTTATGTTTACTGTGTTGTGAATATATAACCGATGTATAATAAAGTTTTGTAAACACATCCAACTCACAGTCCTTTCATTTAGATATAAACAAACCTAATGGTAATAAAAAGGACAACACCATCAAGAAATAATTCCTGGACACCTTGAAAAACAATAGATCCATGGCCTAATTTCGTGCCCTCCGATTTGTAGTAATACTGCTTATTGTCAACAAGAAAGCTCAATATTCTAGAGATAAATATATTTGTATCATGCTCTTCTGGCTTCTGGTGCAATTTTGTTGTTGAACTGCTCTCCGAAACATTTGAAAAGCCCAATGATTGATTTTATGAAGGAAAGTATGAGTTCAGATACATTCTTCTGACTTCAAATTGATTTTTTCACACGTAATTTTCAGTTCAGCTTATCTTGATCATGACACTTTTCAAGTGAAACGACGAGCTCGAGTTCGATGTCGGCTTGTGCTTCATGAAGGAATTTTAAAAAGCTTGTAAACCAAGAAAAATATATTTCTTGCATTTGACAATCATTTTTTACTGCTTTTACGATAATTAATTTTTTGTCAAGGCATGTCTTGTTCGCCAACTGCATCGAGGAATGACGAAATCTTATCGTGTCTTTTGTAGGATGAGCTGCTATCCAACATTGTCATCGAAAACCCACAAATTTAACGTATCTTCTGGCCTGATTGGACTCATGGCGTCAAAGTTGGGGATTCGTTTCTCGGATAACGTTCGACCAGATTTACGCACCTGGGTTGACTTGATCAATTCTTCGTTCAAGCTGACGTACGTGAAGAAGGAAGAAAATGATGAGGTTAGTTTTCGTCGGG